GGCAGGTTACAATATAAAAAAATGTTTGTCATAATCATGTCTTGTGATTATTTGACAGGAGTTTTACTTTTAGTGTATTTTATTTTGTTATAATGCAAATACAATGCAAATTAAACCAAGATTTAGAAGAATTATATTTTTAAACCAAGATTTAGAATAATTATCATTTTGATCAGTACGTTAGTAATGTGTGACTGGGCCTCGTGTCACTTTATGTTGAACAAATTGGGCCCCGAGGTCAAAACGGTTAAGAACCCCTGCTCTAGATCATGTTCAATTTGCATAAACAAAAATTTGTAATTTTTCTTATGATTAATCATTACAATGCACATTGCAAGAAAAACAACACCAGGTTTGGATAGAATGGATTATTGGGCAGATTCTCTTTTGCCTCTTCGTTAACAGCAAATACGTCACTATAAATAAGTTCATAAAGTGCATCTAGGACTTAAATGCTGGTGGTTTATCCCTTGTTTCAGCTGTGTCACTCCCATTTTCTCTTTTCTCTTTCTGATTTTTTCATCCTCTTTGTTCTTTAACAGGACACTAATGGGGCCATATGGAGTTGACAGAGCTGTTCATTCCATGGAGTTTACAGAATGTGAGAATGGCCTTGGTAAGTTTTTTCCCCTTTAGCAACCAAGAATAAATGGCAGTAGGCCTGCATCTGTACCCCCAACTGATTTTTACCAAAAAAAAAAAAATGTGAATTTGTCTTTGCTGCTATGGCTCCTCGGCATCAAGTCAAACTTTGCTTCCAGCAAACAATAATTCTGTCCTTTTAGAGTTTGGAATATACTGAATTTAAATACAAATATGACAGTCTATCTTCAAAGCATCATAGCATTAATATTCATCAATATGAAAATATGGTAAATTAGAAAAATGCATTTATATTTATATATATTTTGTGTTAATGCTGAAAGCTCAAGTAATTTGCTGATCTGTGAAAGATTGAAAATATTTAACAGTTTAGGTGCTGTTAGGCATGAGTGTTAAAACTTATGGTAAGTTACCCAACAAAAACATGGTCACCCTTATAGCTGTTTATTTATAAAACTATCTCACTAAAACAAATATAAGGTATGAACTTTGAGATGTAAACATTTCACTTTATGGTGAATATGTCTAAATGAGTCTTGGAAGCTTTTATATTATGTTCATCAAAATGATTTTGTGTGTGTGTAGTTTGGAATGTGAAGATTAACAGATTCACTGGTTCACTGATGTGCACAGTGGGCTTAAATCTGAGATAAACATGAAGATGCAGTTTTAGGATTAAATTTAGATTCATTGGTTTATTACACCTTTACAGTTTAATTATTTTTGCTTGTCATCAATAAGTGAAAGGCAGATTATATTATTTGTTTTTGTATGCGAGTGTTCATTTCTTTGTAGTATTAGCAAAATATTTTATGAACGGATTTTGATTAAACTCACAAAGTAATCATGGGAAGCACATCTACAGCTGAATTTTTAGTTACATCAAGATGGCAGCCAACTGACCTTGCAAACACAAAAATGGCTACAACTCAATCAATTTTATAGATATTGAGTGAAAATTTAGATGGTTAGAGGCATCCCAACACATACTTCAAATGGTACACACAATTTTGTTTTAAATTTTTACTTTAACTGTCAGAGTCAACCCTGTTTGTCTGTTAGTGAAATGGAAGAAATCCATTAATAGGATGAATCCTAATGAAACTCTGAGAAAGCCTTCACTGATGTACAGTACAACTGATTAATCTTTTAAGTCAATTCAGTTCAAAGTGGCGGCCACAGACAACCTTAGCAAACACAAAAATGGCTGTAAACCAGTTTTACAGACTTTGAGCTAAAAATTAGTGTGGTTAGTGGCCAAGACTTATCCCCAACATACAGCATACACTTTGCCATTTGTCACTGTTAGAGTCAGCAGCCCAGAAGAGTTATAKCTGAGATCTGTTTTGTACAGAGTTTTATGTACTTTATTTGCAGAATTCATCAAAAGTTTCAGAGGGTTGAAAGAAAAATTATTTGTATAATTTTAAATGTGTGCTTTGTTTGCCATGGACAAACTTAATCATGGCCTATGAAAATCAGCCATTTAACGTGAAAAAGCATGTCAAGGTCTGAGGACAGTATTCAAGTTAGACCCTTTTAGACTTTCAGTCCCTTTGTCCTATTAACGGATTTCTACCAAATAAACTGTTAAATTGTTTTGTACAATATTGCTTCTAGTTTATTGTAAAGAGTTATTTTCAATTCATTAAACCAGTACAAATATTATAAATAACAACTAAAAAAAACAGTGTGAAAATCTTACCCAAAGATTAGATTAAATTAGATTAAAGATTAGATTTAAAGCTCCTTAATTAGTCACTTAATTCTAGTCTTCATCAACAAATGTTCCAAGTCTTGCCCTTGAAGTGGTGACTATAAACTTGTTCTTGTAAAAAGGGGTATAATTAGGAATATATAGATTTCAGTGGTGCTGTATGGAGGACCAAATCTGACATAAATAGAAACAAAAGCAGAAATAAATAAATGGCCCAATAAATAAATAAATATACTTAAAATGCACTAATTAATTAAAAAAAGAGGAAAACTCATGTTTTATTATTTAATTGACCTTCATATTTTTTCCAGCTT